AAGCACTTTCTTTATAGTTCCTCTTATGTCAATAAGACACATGAATACAGCATAAATATTGAGAATATGTTCTGTATAATGTACTGTATAGTGTTAAAGATTTGTCATCTTACAATACAGGGAATCTGCAGGTGAAATAAAGATCGTAATCTGTAAAGATAAATTAAGTTAATATTATATATTATATCATATTTTTTTTAAAAAAAATCCAGTCCATTTGATTATTTTGGTCTACACTGAAACAATAATTAAAAAATCATACAGACATAAATGTTTTGATTCTCTTGTTGATGTCTTTGTTTTGGATACCACAGAAGGGTTTTACTATTTTTACATTAAAAACATATATTTCCCAATGTGTTTCTTACCATTTCTGTTCTTAATGAAACACAGACAAAACACTTTATTACCAATTACAGCACACTGGGGATTCTCTTTTTAAATCTAACATCTTCATGATTTGTAGAAAAGCTTGCATTCAAATGACAGACTCTCTCCATTTCAATTCAGTGATGACTCAAAGTTCACTGCACTTTAAAGTCAGACAGAGTGATGTGCCTTCCGAAAAGAAAAGCTCTAGCCTCTGGAAACACATTCTTCAGCCATTTTCCATTAAATGTTTGTGCTCCCTTTGAATGAGGAGGGTGTTTTCCTGGTCAGTCGTCCACAGTGTGCATTCTAGCTAACAGGAGCAGTGGTACGTTGGTATACTTGATTATGCTTAAAGTCAAAATCATCGCCATCCTATCCCCACCTTTTCATTTCTATTTACACTAATGAGCAGAGGTCCACAGAGCTTTTTCATATGAAAGAATTATAATTATGTCTAACTGTGATGCACAGGAAGTCTGTGCATGTTGTTTCCACCTTAGTTCCTATGCTTCAAGAACAATAGTAATGAATAAGTTCTCCATACAGACCATGGGAACAGGAGATGTTTCAGTAATAATTGATGTGAATCATTACTATTGTTTTATAGATGTTAATTAAACCTTCCAGTTATAATTGAAGTAATTGTTGCAGCAGTTTTGTAGATTTTAATTAAACAAATTCCCACACAAACGTAATTCACATGGTTTATAATATGTTCAAGCTGTTGCTAAATTCTGAAAAGCAAGGTCCACAATCTAACTGGTAGAGAAAAAAGGGTACTAGATTGACACTTCCCCAATGATCAGCATCTTATTAAACCACTGTATCAAGCAAACAACCAGAACTGTACATCTGGCCACTCCTGTAAATATCTCTGAAAAGCACGAAGAGCTGTGTACGACATCTGTGAAAATACTACAATTATGGAGTAAAGAACGGTTTGGCAGTTTGTAACATGCTTTAATATGAAACAGTTTAATACTTTATAAAGTGAAGCCATTTTCACAGTACCTACAACTAAGATCACAAAAAATGGTGTAATTTCTGATTCAATGATCACATTTCATAAGGAACTGAAAAGACGACACCTACAATGAAAACTTTAAAGCACATAGTGCCAAGTGTGGTGAGCCTGCTTTAGCTCATCAGACAGGGGGCAGAAACCTGCGTCATTAAAGTGAATTTAAAAGCAACGCAGTTCGAAGACACAGTGCTGACTGAAACTAAGCTGTTGTCAGCTTGTTGGGCACAGCTTCGCCCTTCAGTGTCACTATGACTAGATTAATAAAAACAACAAACGGCAGAATTTCCAAAGAGGAAAAAGGGTCAGAGTGCTGGGGTGGCCATTATAATAGTGTGACCTGGATCATCCTGGAGGCTTAGGGATGGATCTGAAGGAAGCAGTGACTCTGCCAGGAAATCCACTATTTGAGAGCTGCTTGCAGCAGAGAATGGGAGTGATTTCCAGTGACAAAACAATAACAGATCATGAAAAAAATGAGAAAATGTTTTAACACTGTAAAAGAACTTAAATGTGCACACCATATGTGCTGAGCTGAAGTGTGGACAGAGTGAATGTTATAGTTTAGTTTGTGAAATAATATTCTGGCAGGGTTGCTCTCACTGACGTGCATGTTTATCAGCTCAGCTCATTCCATTTCCTGTGGTCAGGTGTTTTGCTAATAAACTTGGACTCTAAAGCGACAAACCAGGACTGGCTGTACTATGACACCAGGTGCAGATCTTGAACTTTATAGTCCAGTGCCACAGAGTCCCTTCTTGGTTCATGTTATTACAACAGTTCCTTTTTCAACCAAAGGGTTACTTCTCCCTGGAACATTGTCTACTGTACATTTGTTAGGCTACTGCAGTTTTGAAAAAGGTGTTCACGAATCAAGATTCAAGAGAATCCTTTTTTTTATATTTGGAATTCCAAAGTCACGATTTTTGTTCTCACTTCTGTAGCAGCTGAGATGCTACAAAATTATACATATGACACAGTTTTGCTTTGTTTCTAAATTTGATATAATTATGTGGTTTTTACCTTCATTGTGCAACCACCTTTGATTACGAAGGAAGATTAACACTTCTTTTTGATACTGGGTCTGTATATAGGCTCACACAGGTTGTCAAATTCAAATGCACAACTGGAGATCTAACTTAAATTTTGACCAGTACAGGACATAAACTGCTAAAGTAACAAAAGTCTATTAACCTTGGAAAAATATAATACAGTATGTAACAAGCATTGCTGGCTAGTTCTTTTGCCCCAGTGTAACAAAAATCTAGTGGAGGAGTTTCAATCCAATTCAATTCCTTTTTATATAGCGCCTTTCACAACAAGGTTGCCCCAAGGCGCTTAACAATCCAAGTTTAAAGAAAAACATCAGAAAACCATACCCATCCTTCTTTCTTTCAAACATTTTCATAGGCAAGTTGTTCCAACTATGGAGGAACCCTTTCTTAGATGGATTTCAGTATGATTTACAGGTCTGAAAGGTGTTTGTCCATCCCAACCCACCCATTTCTATCTATCCATCCAGATATCTGTCCATCCAACATCCATCCACGTGTCCTTATGTCCATCCATATTCGTGTACAAATGAATATACATTTGATCCCTTTAGTCATTTATACTTCAAAATGTGTGCAGTTTGTTTGCTTATTTGATATGCAGTCCTCAAAACTCAAAAAACATCTGTGAGTTCATAATTCTGACCAAGGGTTGGCAGTATAAATTTTCCACTGGGTGTCCTGTTCCCAGTGGTTTGTGAATTCGGCATCACATACTGTTTTCTATACTGATTCTGTTGTACAAAAAGAAGAGTTAATTCCTTCATCATATAATTTGCTTGCAATTTCCACAAGAACAAATAAATCCTCAATAAAGCCTCTTTATTAACCTAAGGGTAATAAATACACATATTACACCTGTAGAAAAATAGCTGGCAAAAATCTTCGTCTTCGTTGCTTTTTGTTTTATGAAACCATCCAAAGTACAGTACCTGTTGTTAATGCAGAACTTTCTTTTGCTATTTTTTGAATGCTTTAAAAAATATTTGACCCAGTGTCATGAATAAGTTCTTATGGACCAATACATTCAGCACAGCGTTAGCAAGATTCACAAAAGAGCTGTATCAGCACTTTCCACAGCCTTGGGTATCTACTATATGTCATTACTCACAACGCTACCTTTCAATCCACTTCATCCATGCCAATACTCTCATTTACAAGAGGTCACAAATACAATGAATTTGTAAGCCTAATGGTAGCTTTAAGTAGGAGACCACCTAAAGTTACCTGTCTCTGACTGAAGGTAGCCAACGAAACTGCCCGATGTCTTCCCAAAAAGCCCATATAAATAAGAAAAGGAATATAATGTTTCATCTGTGACGAAATGCCACTTGATGATTATGTCACATCATGACCCACTTCTCTCCTACCTGAGCTGGCTAAGTAGCATAGTGGTGTTATAAAAAACAGGCCCCGGCAGAGACAAAACAGAAAATTCAATATAATAAGTTTATATGGTGTTATAATAAGATATATGCTGAGCCCACAGCCACACTACTGGTAAAGTACTTTTCATTCAAATTCCTAATTTTATGATTTATAGTAACCTCTTCTATAACTGCACATTTTAAAACATAAACATAAAGTAATATCTCCTTTAACTGGGATCTTAAACGCTGATGAATCTTGACTTGTAGTTAAAACAAAGTCATTTCTTATGGTAAAAGAGATTGGTTTTAAAACAAACAATTAATTATAATAATTACAAATGTGCCTAAAGCACATTTGGTTCTTTTAAAACTGGAAATCCATACAAGTTTAATTAATTCTGAATTTCCAGAATATATGAAAAATATATTGTAACATATTGATAAATAATCTTTGGAAACTATGTGCATGCACTACCATGTGAAATAAAAAAAGGTTTGTTTTCTAAAGAAACAAAAATCCTAAATAAATTGTGTACTTTAAACATTTGTGAAAGATCAATGAGCAAAAACCAGACCCAGACGTTTTTCACTTCAATGGGCCGTGTGAAAAGGTACACCGAGATAAGTATGTGACATGACAGGTAGACTGTTCCTTTAAAGAAAAAATGAAAGACGGGAAAGAATTCAAACAACTCTCTTTGTGTGATTTTGAGTGTGAAAGCAAGGCAAGATCCATCAGGTCTCCCTTTGCACTGCTGGCCCTCAGTACTGAAACATTTGTTAAATTTAAAGAGACAGTGTTTTGAGGCACTTTTTTGGTGAGACATGGTGTCTAGGCTTATATATGTAATTGAGTTGCACTAGTTTATAAAGCCCTGCATTCCAGCTGCTTAGTCTCTGTGAAAAGTGAAATTCTTCCCATCAACTAGTGACAATATGCATTTTTTCTCCTATGGACAGAAAACAAAGCTGTTTGTGCCTTTAGTTTTACTAAAAAGTAGTTCAGATTGAACCATCCCAGTGACCCTATTTGTTTTGCAACTCCACAGCAGTACAATTATTCAGACATAATTTGTATCTTAAGAACCCAATGATTTAAACCACTTGGTGAAACTGATGTTATTTTGTAGGCATCGACAAAAACCTGCTGACAACGGACAGCCGCGGGAGGTGTTTGCAGCTTACCTTTATGCTCAGGTAATTATCACAGGTCCTGATTCTGGTTCTGTTGTTCATATTGATAAGCAACAGCATTTAAAAGGTAAAGCACACCACCGCCATCCAGCCCAGCAGATGAGATCCAAAGCAAAGTCACAGGTCTGTTCTCAGTCTCACTTTAGTCCTCTTTTCATGCTGTGTGTGTCTCATAGCACACTCTCTGCCTGAGCTGCCCTGAGCTGTGAATATGAAAAAGCCCTGCTGGAGCGTGAGAGAGGCAGCACTGTTTCTGAGGCAGAAGCTACTCCCTGCTGCTTCATTATGCATACTGATGCAACTTCCTTCACCATTGAAGAGCACACAACCCACCATCCGAACAATGCTACAGTGATCACCATGCCCTGCAGGGGAACTGTGATTGCCTCTCCCTTTTGTGCTAAAAACAAATGGACTTGGGTTTCGGCTAATACTGCTGATCTTATAAAAAGAAAAGGCCCTGGAATCCCAAAGGAGATATGACTCAGTACGCACAATGCTGAACAATGTCGTTGATTTGGACAAATATATCAAGCAGTACAGAGCAGATAAATCAACAGTTTTATCAGGACACTTACCTTTCCTATAGAAAGACTGCGTTCTTTGACAAAGTTAAAAAAACAACATTAATAGACAAAAGCAAAAACAGGTTTGTCAAGTTGAAAAGTGAGAATATTTCAGAATGCATTCCCCAGAATTTGGGGGAAAAAAAGGAAACAAAAATTGCTTTCCAAACACGATTTGTTCCTCAACCCATGGAGTTTATGTTAAACTCAAAATAAAAGTTAAAAACACAAAATGACACATTAAAGAACTCATTGTTGTAAGTAAAGTTGTAAGAAAGTTTAAAAATTTTATTTTTTAATTCTACCTATCCTTTTTTTATCCTACATTTTGTATATCAAACTAACACAGCAGAAGAAATGATGAAATCAGATGAGATAGGAGATTTAATTATGACATGTAAAATAAAACCACAGGTGTGATATATAGCTATTTCTAATACCAAATGGAAAATGACCAAATACAGTTTTTCAATGCGTTTACACTGACCTGCACCTCTTAATTCATTCGGTCTCACAAATGGCACTAAAGCAGGCTACATGATAAGATCGCAGGAATTCCTAGCAGGAAAATCAGTATAACATGTTTTCTTTTTCTTCTTGTACACATATTGACGATATGAAACACGAACATGAGTAAATAGTGGATTTAGAAGATGTAAAATTAGGTTGGTTAGGCTGAGCAACAATAAGCCCTTTTTATAAGGACAATGCGTCACTGCAGTGCATCACTGTTTTTCCTGCAGGAACAAAATATATTTTCTGGACATTTCTAGAAACTGATCACACTACTCCTGGTGCTATTTTGATGTTAAACCACTTTGGGGGAAAACATATCCTTGGTCAACACACATTGTTATTGTTAATTCTTTTGTCAAAAGAGTAAAAATATTTTGTCTTCTTTTTTGTATATATGCCTACATTGCCAGGTTGCAGTGCATGACTCACCTCTGTGCTGTTATCAAAGTGCTCTGGCAGGAGGCCAGACAAGCCCTGTCATTCCAAATTTAGCTGTAGCCCTAGGCTGAAATACTTTTTACATGTTTAGGCTACATTTCGCTGCCTTGCCCAAGAGCAGCAACACGTTTTCAAATGCTGCGTAAGTATTATGGACTTGGGAGAGATGTCTAGCTATCAACAGAGTTAAAGGGAAGGTCAAGTCTCTTGGTGTTTTTTCCTTGACTGTTCTCAACAATAGAAAAAGCAGGATTCTACAGCTTACTTTTATAATAAATCAGCGCAAAGAAAATGCATCTTAAAATTGACCATTTGTTTTCAATATCACAAATGTCATAAGTATATATTTTTATATTAATAAATCAACATATATTGCATGCACACTGATTTGTTTTTAATCATGTGTAGGTCCACAACTTGCCTTAACAACTGTTACAGTTCTAGGAGGGAGTTTCCTCCTTGTCAGAATATCATCCTTAGCTTTTTCAGGAGGTTTCCTATCCAGAGACTGGCCAGGCTCATACCTGCCTAGCTTCAGTGGGTTGCTAGTTGTGAGTTGCTGAGTGATATGGCTCCTGGCTTTTTATGGTATTAAAAGAGTTATCCTGCTCCTTATGTGGAGTAAGCTTTAAGAAGAACTAACTATATTTTTGAAGTGTATGTTTATATGTCCTGAACCACAACTCCAATCACGTGAAAGATAAAAATAGCTTGCTTCCCTCTTCCATCAGATAAACCAATTCACTAAGAACTACAAGCTGCATTTTCATAATCTTAAAATCTAACATAAATCCACCCAGAGCCATGAGACCTGGGGAATATGAACGATGCATTTTCCAATAGCAGCTGTGCTCTTTTTTAGGATTTAATGTTTTCTTCTGTTTGGTATTTTGAAAGTCATTTCCTTTATCAACACTGCTTAGATTACAATCAATAGAAATTTTCCACTGTCACACAGACCCTTGAAAATTAATTTTCTCATGTTATTACTGATATAGGAACAGCAAAACTATTTAGTTCTTTATTAAAATAATGTTAGTAAAGGATACCATTGCACATGCTCACTAAACAGTTTCAATGTTACCTGACTGCTACATAATTAAATAATATCATTTA